GTGCTGCCGCCCGCATGCGTTCCGCACACCCATTTCGGCACACCCCGCACGCGTTTCGCGGCCCCATAGGGAGCTCCGCCGAAGATCCCAGTGGGTTGGGTGTGCCCGCATGCGTCCCGCACACCCAAGTCGGCATACTCTTCACACGCTTCGTGGCCCATAGGGAGCTCCATCGAAGGCCCCAGTGGGTGTGCCCGCATGCGTCCCGCACACCCATTTCGGCACACCCCTCACGCGTTTCGTGACCCCTCACACGCTTCGTGGTCCCATAGGGAGCTCCGCCGAAGGTCCCAGTGGTTGTGCCCGCATGCGTCCCGCACACCCAAGTCGGCATACTCTTCACACGCTTCGTGGCCCCATAGGGAGCTCCACCGAAGGTCCCAGTGGGTGTGCCCGCATGCGTCCCGCACACCCATTTCGGCACACCCCTCACGTTTCGTGGCCCCATAGGGGGCGCCATCGAAAAAGATATTCACAATTGCGGTACTCACAATTGCATACGGTTGGGTCCTTCGCCAGGATAATTATAATGTTGTTTTGCTGTTTGTTTTCTGTTTGGCCGGAAGGAGTCCGGCCAGGATCTCCCTGCCAGGGCTCCTAGAAGGGTCCGGGAAGCTGCGGGCCTTTTCCGAGCCGAGTGTGTTGCCCTTCAGCTCGACTCTCCCGACTGTTGCTTGGCCACCTCCAGGATTGAGGGATGATGGAGGACTCCTCCCATCTCCCTGTGAGGGGGGAATGAAGAATAGAGGAGGGGGGAAGGAAGAGAGGAGGATGAGGATGAGGATGAGGATGAGGATGAGGATGAGGATGATGATGATGAGAGATGAGGAGGAGGAGCGGAGGAGGATAGGAGGAGAGGAGGGGAGGGGTTAGGAGAGGGGAGAGGGGAAGGGGGGAGGGGGAGGGGGACAAGTTAGGTGCGCTCGCGTCAACATCTGACATCATACCCCTCCCTCCCATCCCTTACCATGGCGCTGATTTTCTCTATCCGCGGACGCGTGTCGTAGCGGACCTGTGGCTCCGCGCGCGTGTGCGTAGTGGATGCTGGTGCGCGTGCGTGCGTGAGTGTGTGCGTGGTTGTGGGTGTTGTGGTGGTGGTGTGTATGTGTGTGTGTGTGTGTGTGTGCGTGTGTGCGCGTGTGCTGTGGTGTGACGTGGTGTGGCGTCTTGGTGGTTTGGTGGTGGGCCTGGTGCGTACGTGCGTGATGGCGGTGGTGGTGGTGGCGGTGGTGGTGTGTGTGTGTGTCTGTGTGTGTGCGTGTGTGTATGTGTATGTGTGCGTGTGCGTGTGTATGTGTGTGTGTGTGTTCGTGCGTGCGTGCGTGCGTGCGTGCGTGCGTGCGTGCGTGCGTGCGTGCGTGCGTGCGTGTGTGTCTGTGTGCGCGCGTGTGATGTGGTGTGACGCGGTGTAGCGTGGTGGTGGTGGGTGGGGTAGTGCGGTGGTGGTGGCGGTGCGCGGTGGTGGTGCGCGTGCGTGCGTGCGTGCGTTGGTGGGTGGAAGTGGCGGTGGGTGTGCGTGCGGCGGGCGGGGCGTGGTGCGGCGCGGTGGTGGCGGGCGGATGGGCGCGCGAGAAAGAGGCCCGCGCTGGGGCGAGAACGCCATCCTGAACGACGGAGGCAAAACACCGATCCGAAAATGAGGCCCACGCTGCAGCGGGAGCACGATTCGGAACGATTCGGGAGCAGCAATGAGGCCGGCGCCTCAGCGAAAGCTGCATTTTGAAAAACAACGCAGGCGAAAACCCAACTCCGGGGAATCGTGTGTGTGTGTGTGTGTGTGTGTGTGTGTGTGTGTGTGTGTGTGTGTGTGTGTGTGTGTGTGTGTGTGTGAAAAACAGTACGCGGCGGGGGCGAATACGCAAAAGACGTCATCAGGGGAAGAGGGAGAGTAGTATTCATATTGAGTAATTGTGGAGGAGGAGGAGGAGGACGGGGAGGGGGGGGAGGAAGAGGAGGAGGGGGAGGGGGAGGAGGAGGAGGAGGAAGAGGAGGAGGAGGAGGAGGAGGAGGACAACAACTACTACTACTACTACTACTACTACTACTACTACTACTACTACGACTACCACTACTACTACCACTACGACTACTACTACAAATACTACTACGCCTACTACTACTACTACTACTACTATTACTACTACTACTCCTACTACTACTACTACTACTACTACTACTACTACTACTACTACTACTACTACTACTCCGACTCCGACTACGACTACGACTACGACTACGACTACGACTACGACTACTACTACTACTACTACTACTACTACTCCGACTACGACTACTACTACTACACTACTACTACTAGCTACTACTGCGACTACTACTGGTACGTTCTTTCTACTACTACTGACTACTACTCACTACTACTATTACTGACTACACTACTACTACTACTCCTACTACACTACTACTACTACTGACTACTACTACTCACTACTTCGCCTACTCCACTACTACTATTAAAACGACTACTTCTCCTACAACTGCTGCTACTACTTTCGATACTACTGCTACTATTCTACTACTACCTGCTACTTGTTCTACTACTAACTACTACTACTACTAACTACTACTACTACTATCTACTACTACTACTACTCTACTACTTTTACACTACTACTCCTACTGCTGCTTCTACTACTACTACTACTACTACTTACTACTACTACTACTACTACTACTACTACTAACTACTACAACTACTATACTACTACTCTACTACTGACTGCTAGCTACTACTACTACTACTACTACTACTACTACTACTACTACTACTTCTACTGCGACCGCTACGGCTAGGACGGCCACGACTAGTGCTACCACTGCTACCATTACTACTAGTATTTCCACTACCCGTAGTAGTACTACTACTTGTACATCCATTGATACTACTACTAGTGCTACGACTACCACTACAACTATCACTACTACTACTACTACTACTACTACTACTACTACTACTACTACGACGACTACTACTACTACTACTTGTGTTACTACCACTACTACTACTACTACTACTGCTACTACTACTACTACTACTACGGCTACTACTACTACGGCTACTACTACTACTACTGCTACTACGACTGCGACTACTACTACTACTACGACTACGACTGCTACCCCCACTACTATTGTTACTGCTACTACTACTACTACTACTTCTACTACTGCTCCCCTGTTGCTGCAACTACTAATACCTGTACGACTGTGATTACTACTACTACTACTACTACTACTACTACTACAATTACTACTACTACTACTGCTACTACTACTACTACTACTACTACTACTACTACTACTCCTGCTGCTGCTGCTGCTGCTATTACTACTACTACGACGACGACGACGACTACTACTACTACTACTACTACCGCCAGTACCACTACCGCTACTACTGCTACTGCTGCTACTACCACTGTCACCACCGCGACTATTACTTCTACTACGACTGCTTCTACGACTACGTCTTCTACTACTACTGCGACTTCTACTACGACTTCTACTACAACAACAACAACAACTACTACTACTACTACTACTACTTCTACGACCACTACTACTACTACTACTACCACTACCACTACTACTACTACTACTACTACTACTACTACTACTACTACTACTACTACTACGACTACTACTACTACTAGTACTACTACTACCACTACTACTACTGCGACTACTACTCTTGCTACTACTACTACTACTACTACTACTACTACTACTACTACTACTACGACTACTAGTACTACTACATTACTAGTACTACTATACTACTAACTACTACTACTACTACTACTATTACTTACTACTCTACTACTACTACTACTACTACGACTACTACGACTACCCTCCACCTCAACCACTACTAACTACTGCTACTACTACTACTACTACTACTACTACTA